CACTTCGGACTCCAACTCGAGTCCATCTCGGACACTCCCACGTGTCATGTGTTGGTCCTTTTGGGTCCCTTTTTGGAGCCTCGCCTTTTGCTCGCTTCGTGCTCGTTCCTCGAGCACTTCGTTGGGAGTTCCACTCCCGCTCTTGACTTTTCAAGTCGGAGCTTTTGGTCCAAACGTGTTACGCTCGTTTGGCTCTCGCTTCGGCCACTACCATGTGGCGCCCTTCTGGCTCCACTTTGGGGCCTAGGGATTTTGTGTCTCACAAGCTCGAGTGTGCCTGGTCAGTGCCATCCCATTGCATATATAAGCCGTACATTACAACTAGCGGAGATGAACTACTCCACGACAGAGAAGGAGTGTTTAGCAGCAGTCTGGGGTTTCGAGAAACTTCATGCATATCTATATGGTTCTCGGACATTACTTGAAGGTGACCATACTACTGTTACTTCGTTATTAAAGCGGAAGAACCTGGTTGGTCGTACTGCTCGGTGGGTTTTGAAGCTTCAGATATATGATTTTGATGTTGTTCATTGCCTAGGGAGTTCTATGACTGATACTGATGCTCTTTCTCAAGCTCCTCTTCCTTCTTCACTCTCTTCCATGTTTCTGACGAGCCTGTTATTCCAGCATCTGTGGATTTTCTAGACGAGGATTCTGTGCCATCGGCAGTTGCTATACTTGACATTCAATGTCCACAAGGTGCAGAGCAAGATCTACCTTCGCTTGATGAGGTTTGTGAGGCTCAAAAGATTGAGCCATGGATTCGAAGGCTTCGAGATGGGATTAAGAATCCTGCATCACTTGCTGATGACTTGCCTTTCTGGCATTTACATTCTCAATATCGTCTTGAAGATGGCCTTCTTTATTTTGTGGGGACAGATCCTGATGATCATTTACGGCTGGTGGTGCCTTCTATCTTTATTCTGCGATTTCTCCATGCCTACCATGATTCTCCTGTTCTATGTGGGCATATGGGACATCATTGTGTAATTGAGAAGCTATGCAAGTCTTTCTATTAGCCAAAGATGCGACGTGATATTATCTGGTATGTGCGTAGCTGCGTTTGGTGCAAAGCTCGTAATACTCCCCCTCGAGCTGCGGAAGGACGATTGGAGTCAATTGCAGTTTCCCGTCCGTTTGAGTTGGTGGCATTTGATCTTATGGGACCTTTTCCACGGTTGACTGTTGGCAAAGAGTATATTATTATTACTTCTGACTATTTGACTCGTTGGGTGGAAGTTGGTGCTCTTGTTAGCACCTCTGCAACTGCTATTGGATACTTCCTCCTCAATCGAGTGATGTTTCAACATTCTTGTCCAGAGTGGATTCTTTCGGATAATGGTCCCGCATTTATAGTTGAGGCATTTCATGTTTTGATGTCTTGATTGGGGATTCACCACACTTTCATGAGTGCTTATCATCCACAATCAGACTATCAGGTGGAACGGCTCATTCGGACGTTCAAGGGGATAATTGCGAAGTATGTGAACTTTCAGCATTCGAATTGGGATGGTTATTTGCCGTCTCTTTGGTATGCATATGTCACTGGGGTGCAAAGTTCTATTGGTGCTTCACCATATAAACTTCTATATGGTCATGATCCAATATTACCAACGGAGCTGGGTTTACCTTCGCGATTGCCACGAGCTGCGGATGCTAGGTCATGGGATCAATATTTGACAAGCATTCTTCCACTTGTCCGAGCGAAGTTTGCCGGACACTTAGGCCGCGTACAAGTGGGACAACAATGGCGTTACAACTCCCATCATCGTCCATTTGCAGAGTACAAAGTGGATGATTTGGTGTTAGTCCATTTTCCCCATCTTACAGTATGTGGTTTATCTAAGGGGCTCCTTGCACAGTGGAAAGGACCGTATCGGGTGTTGCAACAAGTTGGACCACAAGTTTATGAGGTTCGGCATGACGTCCAGTAGGCCGATCCTCTAGAGATTGTGCATGTGCAACAGTTGAAATGCTTTATACAAAGGGATCAGGAGCGGTTAATACCATCTACAAATCTACCAATGCCTCCTCCTGATGTTCCTCCAGATCTCGGCCCATTTACAAGAGAACCCTAATGGTCTTCCATTATTCCGAGAGGAGGGGATGATGTGAGGGCCAAGTGTATGGCTACGATGCCGTATACTAATATTAGTGTACTGGGATTTTGGTAGCCATCGGATTGGTTTCAATCCGGACCACTCTCTCCTATATATAAGCTAGGGTTTTTGGGCTAATTAATATGCACATTTTTGTATTCCTTTTCCATATTCCATGCACTCACAATGGAAGTTTATTATTATAAATATGTTTATAATTTTTATGTGTTGCATGTAGCAATGCTTGGTTTGCTTAATAGTAATGTTATACTTACTTATTAATCTAATTGATCAAATAAAATTTTATAATTTATAAACACAAGATTAATCTTATTGCAAGATGGTAGAATAAAAAAGAATATACTAGAAAGTGTTTAAGCAAGTTTATAATTTATAAACATATTTATAAATTATAAATACAAAATTAATCTAAATGAATAACAATTGTTAGATGGTAGAATATTTTTAGGTATATCAATTACCTTGCTTAAGCAAACAAAAAAAAGATAAATTTCATTTGATGGTAGAATAAACTAGAATATACTAAGACATCTTTGGGAAAATTTATAAATTATAAACATATTTTATGTATATCCACTCACTCCCCTTACAGATTTGCTTAAGCAAACCAAAAATGTTGGCAATAATTAGTATGTGGAAACTATAGTTAGTTTAACTAATAAATACTTTTTATACCTGGCACTGAGTTGCCCAACTTTTTAGGCCATTAAATCCAAATGGAGGGGTACTCTGATTTCTTAAACTATGTCTTATTGAAATATTTTGATAAGGTTTTGTTTTGGCCAATGATTGTTGTATTATGAGAAATTTAACATATGTGACATGCAGATTTGGAAAGAATCAAAATGGCACTTTTTGCTTCCTCAATCTTAATTCCACTCCCACTAAACAGGGCCACTCCCTTAATTCTTGATGGCTATGGTGCTCCATGGATTTGCACACAAAGTTGTGAATTAAAATTTAAATTTGACCATACAAAAATGCATTAAGGAACTGGCTTGTGAAGAGTGCTAAACAAAGTTAGTGATCAGATTCCAAAGGTACATGTCAATCTCCACATGAACTTAAGGTCAATGTTTGAATTAGGAATTTCTTGGTAGTGGGACAGTAAACAAGATTGTTAGCTCTAGCTAAAATATTTTCCAGTCTTAAGTGAGCTGGGCATGTTGCTATTACACTTGCTTTTGCCATTTGCCTCCATGAATAACCACACCATGTTTTCTACTTGCTGCCTCAAGTTGAGCTGCTATGACACAGGTTCTTAAGCTTCATATCAGCACTTCATGGCAAGAGAAAGAGTCCCAAGCATATATATGCTTTCAACTCTTGGCTAAACTCATAGTCTATAATTTACTTGCTCCAGCTCGAACTTAGTATCCAATTTGTAGTTTATCAGAATGTGAACATATAATTGATTGTAAAAGTCATTAGATCATTCATAGTCATCTTACAGCTTTGATTTGGAAGGATATTGGGGCAAAGCAAGCTGCTTGGTATGGACAATAGTGAGGTGTTGCAAATGGTGACAATCTAAGTTGTGAGGATATCATGATGTGTTTTATAGTTTTAAAGGCATTTCCTCTAAACTTAATACTTGCTATATGCAGATCCTGAACATCACAATTAGTGCTAGAAAAGTTGCATGGATTTGGATGCTACCCTCAAAATGGAACTTGAGCTTCAAAGCCTTGAGCCACTGAATAAAGGACAGAGCTAAACACTTAAGCATATAGCGAAAGAGTAAAGGAATTGGAGTAAAAAGCAACTTATGAGAAGTGACTTGATATAGTCCTAAGGTTTCTAACATTCTAATGCCAGAACTAACACATAAAACATAATCAAATGAAGTCTAGTGTTATTTCAGTATATTAGTGGACTAATGCAAAGATATATATACTCCACAAAATAGCATAGTATGGATATTAAACTTAAACCCAAGACAGATGTAAAACAAAGACAACAAGTGAGAGCTAAACTATACTTTAGATTAATTGGCCATACTTGACTTACACACTATCCCTATTATATGGGACAATCATAAAATTTATTAACTATGAAATGATGTTAGATTGTGAATTTAGATGCAGAAACAACATGTCAAACATAAATCTCTAAGACCAAAAGTAGAGCCAAAAGTGTGCCATAAAGTCAAGAGCAAAAGTGGAAATCCTAATGAAGTAGGAACAAGTATGAAGAGAGCAATGAATGATCACTTTAACTTTTGTAACTTTAGCTCGTTTTGCTATTGTAGACTCTAAAAGGAATATAAATATAAAGTTATGTGCTCTTTGCATGCTTCTCCAAGAATCCTATTGGTGCATCGTTTGTTTGTGGCTCTGCATACCAGACATTGCAAACAAATACCCAGGATGTCATCAGCCTCAGCTAAACGGAAAGAAAAAACTTAAAGTCAATCGAGATGAAAAGTATAGACTTCGCGTGGACAATTATCTTGTGGGGCAGACAGTGACATCCAGTTCGAATGCAATCTGCCGAATCGGGCGCAAGGAAATAAAAACTGCCTGGAGAAACTACGAAACCAAGAACCTGCTTGAACATCGCATTGTCCTCCTTGTTCTGCAAAAATGAGCAAAATAGTGTCTTCCGGATCGCTTGCATCCCTTCTGAAGCTTGGTTTTACTTTCCAGCTTGCTTTTCGTCTCAACTCCATTGCTACGCACAGCAATCCCCTGCGGATAATCGATCACAGCCTTCTACTGCTTTTCTCGATCAAGAAGTTTGGATCATTCTCACATAAACCTGAGTTTATGTACCTGGAAAACACTCAAAAGAAAAGATTTATAGAAGATGGTTAGCTCACCATCCCAAGCAGGATACTTTTGCATGATCATAGCAAAGGAGTCATCTGTGAAGAAGTGTTCTAAAAACTTTTATCATTGTGGAACCAAATCAGATGTTCTGAGCCACGGGCATTAATGCCAAATTCCTTATAGAGGTAATCAAGAAACTCCAACAATTTTTGAAAGATATCCATCGCGGAAGAAACCTTGGGAGAAGAAACAAACGATAGTTACTGAAGAAACAAAGCACGATGAAAACCTGCCTGCAATTTAGCTAGAGGATCATCGACGTTTCCTCGAAATGACCAATTCACCTGTTGCTGTTGATCCGGTTCTTCTCCTGTTCACGAAACCGTGGAATTAGTATAGAAAAACTCATTCCAAACTACTAGACGTCTCACATTTCAAAGATCGTGACAAATTGTTTGAAGCAGCTTGTTCCTCACTTGGAGAGGGAGCCAATGCGCGTTCATCACATTGAATCGCATGTCCACTTTCGTGTTCACTGTCAAACAGAAAAGAATTCGATCACGAAAGCCCCCAAAACACCAAAAGAATCACACCTTTGTTCACATTTTGGCCGCCAGCACCTCCACTCCTCGCAAAGCTCACAGTCACATGATCTAGAACGAAAACCTCAGCCGAAATCCCTTCCCAGCTCCAAGAAACTCACCGATCGAGAGCCGAGGGATGGCTGTTTGCCATAATCCGCCTCGGCCGCTGCCTCGCGGCTGGAGATCATCTGCTGCTTCTGGACGAACCGCGCGGCTTTCTTCTCCCCAGCCTTGCAAAGAACCGAGGCACACAAGGCCGGCCATCGCGGCCAAGCATCGATAAAATATATTATGCAAACGAGACAACGTAGTAATTAAAAAAAATCTTCTCTTCTTCCCTGTGATCTTTCTTCTCGAAATTTTACCCGCCATTGAGACGATTACTGCTGTTGGTGTTGGCATTGATTTCACTGGAACTCGTCGTGTCCGAGCTCCCAAGCAACCCAGCCCGCCGCCTCTCCATCTCCATGCTGCTCATCCCTTCGCTGCTCGACACCGAGGGATCGCTCGTCGGCGGGCCACCGTGTTCTTGGCTTCCAAACACCACCTTTCGGAACCTTTTCATGTCCGAGGCGTATTGGTTGCTATTGTAGTCCGCACTCGTGAAGTTCGAGCCGTGGCCTGGCTTTACTCCTTGGTTGAGGTCGGAGATATCGCTTTTTAGAGCGGGGACAACCTGAAAGAAAAATGCAAGGAGTTTAGTAGTTGCTCGAGAAAACAAAAGAGGCAAACAAACCTCTGCCATCCTTGGGCGTTCGCTGGCTGAGTGTCGAACGCAGGCTGCAGCTGCCTCGACCATTCGTAGCATCTCGTCCTCGTTGTAGTTTGCTAGTCTTTCGTCGACTATGCCGTCGAGGTGGCCTTTCTCGATAGCCTGCATGAGGTATGGCCGAGCCTGAAAGAGGCAATAAGTTTTAGTATGTCCAGGGATGAGGTTTTGCAAACACTCACCCATTCGACCAAACTGTCTTTTCCCACAGGTTGCGTGGTATCTACAGGCCTCTTTCCTGTTATAAGTTCCAATAGGACGACTCCGAAGGAGTACACGTCTGACTTCTCCGTCAGTTTTCCTGTGGAGGCGTACTCAGGTGCAAGGTACCTGGAAGTTTGAAAAATTCAGATGGAAAAATGATATATTGGTTGGTCATGACTCATGTCCTTACCCGACGGTTCCCATAACTCGAGTAGTGACATGTGTGTAAGTGTCAGAAGCGAGCTTCGCAAGCCCAAAGTCAGAAACCTGTAATGGACAAGCGTTACAATTGAAAGCAAGTGAGCAAATATGTAACAACAAACCTGAGCGTCAAAATTGTTATCCAAAAGAATGTTAGACGACTTTATGTGATTCGAGGATGGCCTGCAAGAACGAATAACTTTTAGATTAAGTTCCAACGGAGAGATAGAGATCTTACAGTCTTCATGAAGATATGCAAGTCCACGAGCAAAACCAGCAGCTATTTTCAATCTCGTTGGCCAATCCATCACGGTTCTACCTTCACCTGAAAAAACAAGAGAGAAAACGAGACTGAGAACAAGGAAAAACACGGACAAGAACTTGTACCGTGCAGGTGATGCTCCAGCGTTCCATTCGGCACGAAATCGTAAACCAGCAGCCTCTGAGCATCCGCAATGCAGTATCCAACCAGCGAAACCAGATGCCTGTGATGAACTCTGCTGATAATCTCAACCTCAGCTCGAAACTCACGCTCTCCTTGCCTGCTTCCAACTCTAAGCTGCTTCACAGCTACAACCTGACCACCATGGAGAAACCCCTTGTATACACATCCAAACCCACCCTCGCCGAGAAGATTGGCCCTGGAGAATCCAGCAGTCGCTGCCTCAAGTTCCTCGTAAGTGAACAACGACCTGGAGCTACCCATGCTCGGGCTCATACCGGGCGGTGGTGGTTGCCCCCAGGAATCCTGTCTTCCCGAACTACTGTAGTGCGGTGGTGGCGGCGACGGTGGCGGCGGAGGAGGCTTGTGGTCATAATGATCTGGTCTTGGTGTCCTGCCGGCTTCATCCATCTCTGGAACACGCAAGAAAACTTTTAGAATTCATGTCGCCTGCATTCCCTAAAGCTGGCGAACATTATCAAGAAGCAAAGCACTCAAGCAAAAAGAGATAGCTTGAGATAGCTTGAAAACCAAAGATGAAGAAAAGCACGCAAGCAAAAGAGAGAGGAAGAAACTTTACCAGCTTTGCATTGGTCTGATCCATACTCGTGGTCATCTCGTCTATACTTCCTCTTGGACTTCCTTCGGAGGCAGCAAACCACCAGCGCGAGCACGATCAAGATCAAAATCCCGGCCGCGGCAATCCCCACAATCGCGCCAATGGGAATGCCGCCGCTGCCGCTGCTGTCACTAGTCGTTGGGTTTCCACCACCATTGTTAGTACTTGGTGTTTCCGAAGTTGAGGCCAGAGGAGGAGGAGATGGAAGAATTTCCGCGCCAGCGTCAGGGGAAGGAGGAGGATCTCCACCGCCAGATGATCCGTCAGGGGAAGGAGGAGGATCTCCACCGCCAGATGATCCGTCAGGGGAAGGAGGAGGATCTCCACCGCCAGATGATCCGTCAGGGGAAGGAGGAGGATCTCCACCGCCAGATGATCCGTCAGGGGAAGGAGGAGGATCTCCACCGCCAGATGATCCGTCAGGGGAAGGAGGAGGATCTCCACCGCCAGATGATCCGTCAGGGGACGGAGGAGGATCACCACCGCCAGATGATCCATCGGCTCCACTTCCTTCTCCACCTCCTCTGGATCCATCCATTGATGTGGTTCCTGTCCTTATGCTAGAATTTCTTTGCGGCCTAGAAATAACCTGTTCTCTTTATTCTTTTTAGAATAAAGGTATAGTAACGAAGGATAGTCTCCTTCTTGAAATTTTCGTCTCAATATTTCGGTCACAGAAAGATCGATCGATCGATCATCGCCCTACCTTTAGTCGCCTCTAGCCGTAGTGGCGACGACGAGCTCCTCCGTTAGCACACGGCAGAATTGACGCCGCTTGCCACCTAATGTCCCAGACTCAACTTTTTGGTGACAGGATCAGATTGCCTGGGAAGCCATAATGCCGGGCGGGCCGTATGACTGGACATAGGGCCACGTGGCAAGTACGTCTGGCATCTACTCACCAAACCATGTCACGTCAGGAACAAAAACAATACAAGCGCCATAGCAAGGCGGTACGGTGGCATTCTTGCGCGTTGTACGAAGAGTTTGGGACACAGTGGCCAAGGCCGTCACCATTTCGATTCCCAGTATCAAACGGTCCTTGACTCATGTCTCGCTACGAAGAATAAACACACAAACGTCGCAAGCGCGTGCGGATTTTTGGTCAAAAGAAAGGATTCGGTTCTTCGTCGCCTTCATTTCTCATCTGGTCCAAGCCGGCCCATTATTGCACATGAGAGGAGCGGAGATTTTTTATTCGGCATTGGCTTTCTTCGAAACAAAAACAAAAGCAAGAAAAAAAAACCACGTCGATCATTCCATGAATTTGTCTTTGTTCTTAATCTTCTTAGCATTATCTAGGGGAGTTTCTGGCCCGTGGAGGAAAAACGCGTAGGCTACAGGCTTTCACGCAAAATTTAGAGAAAACAAAGCAAGAATCTTACATTTTCCAATGGCACCACGATGAGCTGTTCTTCTTCTTCTGTAAGTTTCGAGCTTGGACGTAGTATTTCAAGCGACTTTCGTAACTTCAGCTCGTTTCGCTATCGCAAACTCTGAAAGGATATAAATTTAAATATATGTCGAAGAAGAATGCTCTTTACATACTTCTCCGAGAATCCTATTGGTGCATCGTTTATTTGTGGCTCCACATACCAGACATCGCAAACGACTACCCAGGACGACATCAGCTTCAGCTAAACGAAAAAAAAAAACTGAAAGTCAATCGAGATGAAAAGTATAAACTTAGCGTGGACAATTATTTTGTTTTACTTTGATAGCAACGGGGCAGACAGTGAAATCCAGTTCGAATACAATCTGCAAAATCGAGCGCAAGGAAATAAGAACTGCCTGGAGAAATCATGAACCTGCTTGAACATCACAATGTCCTCCTTGTTCTTGCAAGTCCCCTCTGGAAAGATGAGCAAAATAGTGCTTTCCGGATAACTTGTGTCCCTTCCGAAGCTTGGTTTACTTTCCAGCGTGCTTTTCGTCACAACTCCATTGCTACGCACAGCAATCCCTACGGATGATCGATCACAGCCTTCCACTGCTTTTCTTGATCAAGAAGTTTGGATCACATTGTCGCACTCTCACATAAACCTGAGTTTATGTACCTGGAAAACACTCAAAAGAAAAGATTTATAGAAGATGGTCCAAGCCGGATACTTTTGCATGATCATAGCAAAGGAGTCATCTGTGAAGAGTATTCTAAAAACTTTTATCATTGTCAAATCAGATGTTCTGAGCCACGGGCATTAACGCCAAATTCCCTATAGAGGTAATCAAGAAACTCCAACAATTTTTGAAAGATATCCATCGCGGAAGAAACCTTGCCGGCCAAAGAGTGCTCAGAGATTTCTGAGTTGGTTGTTTCCGCCAAACAAGCATCTGGCGCGCTACACCCTGAGTGGGCAAGTGTCCAGGTGAGAATATCCCACACGGCATTCGATTGAGAATCCCTCGCTGGGACGTAAACCAAGGAAACGATGTCCCGCTGCAGCAATGAAGGGAGTTCAGTTCCCCTCGATCAGACAAGTTCACCAGCACAATGAGTTCCTAGCAAAAAGAACTCCATCTTCGCTAGTGACAGACCACTGACAGACTCGAGGAACTGGGCGAAACACCGTACCTCGGCAAAAGGAGTTCAGATTACTGGAGTGGATTGTGCCTATAAAAGAAATTTGCTCAAACCCTAAAAGGAACCCTATGAGGAAAAGGAAAGAGTCAGGCAAGGGCAAGGGAGTGGGATCTTCTTGGGTCGACAGGGAAGTGGGTTTCTTTAAATTCGAGATCACAGAAGTTAGGTCCTTCGAGGAATTCTTTGGTGAACCACCATGCACCGTCGTTGCAGAGGAAGTTCAAGAGTTTTTAGATCTGGATCTTTTAGACGTTTATCTGAGCTTATCTACTGCAGAGATCTCATTTAGGTCTCGTGTTGTAGAATTACTTGTGAAGGACATCATCTCTGCCACTAGAGCTCACCAGAGACATGAGTCTTGTGCCATCGAGGTGGGAGGTTGTTGGAGTTCTTAGATTATGACAGGAATGGTTCCTCTATAAGGACTAGAGTCACCATTCCACTGCAGATGTTAGACGGCCAAAAGGAAGTAAGTTCAGATTCGTGTGTGGAAGATGAAGTGATCACGGTAGCTACTGAAGACAAAACCTCTGATC